AGCGTTTAGCCTCGTCGCCGAGGCTGACTGACGTCTGCTTCACTGCTGTCAGCCGGTGATCAGCGCGGTCGCGTGCTGCATACATCACTGGCATACACCACCAGTGTTAGGCTTAAAAACAGATTCGAAATACGCCCAGTACCCAGCCGGTTTCCCTCCACTGACTGCAGAGAGACTCCAACACGCCCCCTTCGACGGCGGTTATACATGTATCTCGAACGGGTATTATACAGGTGTCTCTTTCTGTGTTCGTATTTGATTTTCCTACAAAAATTCAAAAATTCCCAGGCGTCACGAAGACAAATTGCCGTTTTCCTTCCCCATTCGTCAGCCGCTTGGGGGCGGTCGATGACAATGATAGACACAGACACGCCGCGCGCGACGGGCAACGAGCCAACAAGGGCACTGGCGTGCAAGCAGCGAGAGATGGCCGCTTGCGTGTAGGAAAAGAAGGCGTGACTTCTTCACGACGGCAAAAAATGCGGGTCAACTATTGTACTGCTGTAGGTGTGTCGAATGATGAATGCGGAGAAAACACGATGTTTAGAAATATCGCATGTTAGAGAGGCAAGGCATGCACCCACCAGCCGTCCCTGGCTCACTCACCCCTTCCAAGCAGCTCAGCGCCTCGCCTTCTCCCAGGGTGGTCGTGATCAGCCAAGGTCCTCCCCTGTCGCTGGGCGTGACGCGATCCTTCAGCTGTTGGCATGTCCGGGCTATCTCGTTTCCCGAACAGCAGGAGATAGTCGCAAGCAACACCGCTAGGCTGCTGCCGCTCTTCCCCGGCCGAAAAACCATGGCTGAGTCCTTGTTGGCGCGGCCGTTGCCTGTCTGTTCACGGGCACCCCGTTGTGTGGACCTGGACACAAGGCAACGAGTAGCGGCAGTGGCAAGAGCAGAGCTGAGCAGAGAGAGCGCGATTTGTTCCATTCCGCCCACAGGAAGAAGGATTCACGTTTTTTTCGTCTCTTGAAATTTACATGTCGTGTCCGGTTCTCAGACGCCGAGACAAGGGAAATAAACACACGCACAACACACGGATCCTCTCATTGCCCTCACCCGCTCAGTGTCGACCCCGTTCACTGGCTCGTGCCTATGTATACGTGTGCGGCTGTGGGAGGAGAGCGGAGAGAGCCGAGGGGCGACGCAGAATGTTTCATGGAGTAGGGGAAAAAACACGGTACCAGCCGCGCGCTCCCTTGCCAAGGCGCTGCCGTGTGGTGGTTGTGCAAGAGCGCGCGACACACTCAACCGCGCACGCTGGTGTCGGAGAGTATTCTGGTTGTGGTCGGTGTTGCCTGGTTGGAGCCAAAAGGTGCGGCAGTGCGTGAGGACGGGGTTTTGTTTTTGATGACATTTTTCACCCACAGGTGTGTATTTTCTCGATCTTGCCTCCTGGGGGGGTATTTTTGTATTTTTTGAATTTCTGTTGTTGGTGCGGGTGTGGGGTGTGGTTCCTTAGGCTCTCGAAACTACCCTGTTGAGGGGTCTTGAACGCACTGTTTTCGACCTTTGATGGAGAACCACCAGACCCGAAGGTGACCGCTCTCTGTTGGCAACTTACAACCTTGTGGACCCAAGTAACTTGCGTGAACATTGTCGGGGAGCGTGGATTGTGCTCTTCAGGACACCGGCTACCTTGCGACATCCGTCGAGGCAGGCGACCCAACTGCTGTTCTGCCTTGACACGTGTGCGGAGCGCGGAGTGTACGGAGACAAACCCGCTGCTGCAGCAGTATTGGTTGCAAACGAACAACCGTTGTGAAGCCCGGAAGGGCTGTGAACCATCGCTGGGGTTCTGATGCATGCATGTTTCGTTTTTCAAATGCAAAGTATTTATACACCGGCACCAACACACGATGATGCAGGTTTGCTCCATGTACACCTCTAACAGAAGGTTCCACCGTCCTGAGACTTTGGGAAACCCATTTTAGCGTGTTTTTGTGTAATCTTAGGGCAACCTGTTGCTGTGTTTGTGTAACGACCCGCGGTGCAGTGCATCGGGTCGATGGAGCGAGAGGTATTCTTCATCACTCGGTGCGTGTGTTTTTTGGCCTTGTTCGCACTCAAATTGTTTCTTTACATTGGAGGTTCTCACTCTCCTCTCTGTTTTCTCTCCTCCGTCATTCTTCATGGACGCCTAAATACATCTCCACCTCCAACCCCCCGCCACCCCCTCGGAAAAAAAATCACCTCGACCGCGTTCCCCGCAGCAACCACACACAGCAAGGGGCGATCGCAGGCATGGATAGCTCACCCGCATCCGCGGCGGACATGCTCCTCCAGCGGCATCGCTCCTCGCTCCAGCCAATGGCAGCGGCGGCGACGGCAGCGGAAGCTGCCGATGGACGCACGTCTCTCCAAGAGCAGCAGCACCGCGCAGAAGAGGAGGAGCCATTGCCTGTCCCTACCGCTTCGGATGCCGAGCTCGAGAGGATGATGCAGGCGGCTCGCTGGGGCGGCGGGCGGCAGCAGACGCCGCCGCCGCTGCCGCCGCCGCCCGCGGACGTCGCTGTTCCGAGAATGCAGCAGCAGCCGCTGTCGCCGGTGATTCTCCCGGCGGGGGAGGCGCGGCAGCCGGACATCGTGAGGCATGAGGTGCGGTCGAACGCACTCTGGCAGCAAGCGGGCGCGCGCGCGTGTGTGTTTTGTTTGTCCCGCCCAATCTGCCGCCAATATTTTACACGTTTCGGTGTACGCTTCTGACGTACGAGCGGGCGTAAAGTAAAGCACAGCGGGGTTGTCGCTCAGAGAAGCGTTTGTGTTTTTTGTGGGGGTGGCGTAAACGCCGTCTAGTGGGGCTTGTGTGCATGCACAGGATCGCCTGCCGCGGTGAGTGCATACCGCCGTTTGGTTCCGTTCCTCACATGGGTGGTGGTGATGGCCTTCCCACTCACAAGGCGGGCAGCCCACCTGTGTCGACATGAAGCTCTACAGCAGTACTGTACAATCTGTAAGACCAAGATCTGTGTGGCACGAAATTCGGTGGCGCGCAATTTCTCGGGTTTCAACGGGCTTTCCTCAATGGTGTCGCGCTCGCTTTCGGCAGGCGCGTTGAAACTTTTCGTGTTACCAAGCGCAAGAGGCGGAGAGTTGGTACCCCCCCCCTAGACCAAGTTTCAAAGCTTGATTGCCCCACAAACCAACATTGTGCCAACCCCTGAAACGATGGTTTTTGAAAAATGTCGTCGAGCCCTTTCCGTAAATGTATCGGGCATTTCTGGCACCCTCTTGGTTATGGAGTACTCGAGGTTTGAAAGTAGTCGGTCCAGTGGGGGGGGGGCATCACTCGGCCTCTTATGGTATTATAGTTTGGTCGCGCCAATCATAGTGCCCCACGAAGGATGGCCGGGCCGGTACGCGCTCTCGCGCTCTCCCATGCGCACGCAGAGCATTCGTGGAAAGCAAACGTAAGAGATGAGTCCCAAACATGCACCCTCGCATGCACTTCGCGCGCGTCCTCCCATGCACACGCAGAGCACTCGTGTGAAACACAAAAGACTAGTCCCGAAACACAAACCCACACACGCACACATGATGCCCCGTCACGGGGGTCCCAGGTCATGACCTTCTAGAAGAAAATGAAACTGTTTAAAGCCGCACTGAGACTAGCGTCTCTTCATTGGCCGGCCTGCTAGCGCGGTCGATGCTAATACGCAGTAAAGACACACATAAACAGCACGCACGCAGCAACGTCCAAACATGGCACCGCACAACACCGCGCGCGGCTCGCAGGCCGCCGACATGTACGACGTTCTGGAATACCGCCTTCGCAACAACGACCGCGACCTTCAGAGCCTGCTCTCGAGGAGTACCGACCGCCTTGCGAAGGTGAGGAAAACCTGGGGAGGGGGGGCACAGCAAGAGGCTTGGGGGGGTGGGGGGGGGGGTACTCATAGTCATGCATGCCGTAGTCGTCAGACCATTGACCTCGCATCCCTACAAAGCCGGGACGGAGCACGCCGGGTTCTCACCGGACCAGGCTCTCATATCCCCAAGCGCGAAGCGCCGTGAGGTATTCGGCGAGTAGCATGAAGGGTGCGCTGCATCCTGCTAAGGGTGTTCGGCATCTTGTGCTTACTTCCTTGCGTACAGATGACAGCTGCGTATGACTTAATTCATTTTCTGGTGCTTTCACTTCCAGAGACTGCTGTAAGTGCGGTGTAACTGCCTCGAGGGTGCTTGACCATTTTAACACAACGTGCGATTATCCCCTTTGCTCGAAATGAGGGTTCTCGACCCCGCACAACATTATCTACTCGACCTCCATTCATGGGTACCGCAAAAAAAAAAAAAAGGCAAAAAAAGCGGTTACCTGGTTGCCGAGCTCACGAAGTGATCGGCTTGTTGTAAAACATCGCTGCCAAGCGACGAAAACCCAACCCCGACGGCAAACACCGGGGGGGGCGGCGTGTTTTACAACGTCGTTGCCAAGCGACGAAAACCCAAACATCGATGGCATACAAGGCCGAGGGGAGCGGGGGGGGGGGAGCATAGCAATAGGCCTAGGGGGCAGCCCCGTCGGGGAGAATTCCGTCGCCCGCCCGCCCGCCCGTTCTCCAAACATACGACCAACGCAAACGTTGTCGCGTATAGGGATCGCCGACTTCTAACCTCGTATCCGTCGTATGTGCTCTTGGTTGCCTTCGATGGACTAACACGGATGCGCTGTGAGTTTATCCCCCCCTCTCTCGCTACTGGCTCCCTGGTTCGTAATCGGTCCGCCGTCTAACCACCGCCAACTAACCGCCCCCCCTGCGTGCGGGCATCCGCAGAGCGAACACCAGCCCCCCCGGCCCACGGCTGGAGACACCTCGCCCCCCTCGGAAGCACCACCGGCTGCGGCGCCGGTGTCACCCCCCCCGGCGGCGGCCGCCGCTCAACCCGCTCTCCCGGGGGTGGCGCCCCACCCAAGCGGCCGCTTCCCCCACCGCCGCTACAGCGTCCACGGCGGCCGCATTGTCGTCGCCACCGCCGGAAGGCGGAGGCGAACCGACTCCGCCGCAGCCGCAGCAGCAGCAGCAGCAGCAGCAGGCTTCTGCTGTTTCCGCATCCGGTGTTGTGGACAACACGGGCGCGGCACACACCAGCGGCGGCGACGGCGATGACCGCCGAATAGTCAACAGCGATTCGGCCGCGGCAGGAGCGGCGGCTGAGAGCGCGGGCGGGGTGGCCGCGCAGATGGGACATGCACAGGGCATGGGTATGCCCAGCGGCCCCGGGGTTGGCGAAACGGCGGCGGCGGCGGCAGGCGAAGGGGCGGTCGTAACGCCTACCCGGCCGATAGGGGGAGGAGAGAGCGGTGGGAGGGGGGGTTCGGCGACAGCGGGGCTTGGGCCGCCGGTACCCCCTAGCGTCGGTGGTAACACCGGCAGCTGTGGTCTAGGCCAGGCAGCAGGTGGCGGCGGCAGCGGTGGGGGGGCGTGGTTGAGACCGGGCACGACCGCAAAGAGCGGCGGTAACGTCGACGGGGTGCTGGGGACGCCCCCCCGCCTGCCTCGGCCCCTGGCCGACGGCATGATCGTGGAGGCCGCGACGGAGGCCGCTCGCTGGCTTGCGATAGACGACCGCACGTGGCACCAGGTGAGACGGGCGGGCTTTGGTTTGACTTGCTTGTTTTTATCGTTGTACGCAGGCATCCCGCTCTGCTGTTGGGGTTTGGAGGCAGAGGAGTTGCTGATGCTGACATTGATTACTTGCTTGTTTTGTCGTCGACATAAAGGTCATCCTCGTTGAACATCCACTTCACAAGAACGGTTCTAATGCTGCCTCCAGGTTCAATGTCTGTAAAAATTGTTTCTGAATGGACGTATGTACATATTAAGAGATGGTATTATTTCTCACGCTATCTCGATCACGTCCCAATCAAATGTGTGTATTCGTTCCTCAACAAACAACAACAACGACAACGATTTGCGTCTCGACCCCCCCCCCCAGGGCAAGAAGTTCATGGACGAGTGCATCGCCGACTGCCCCAACGAGAAGAACCTTATCCGGAGGAAGCTCACGCCGGACCAGTGGCGGGAGTCAAAGATAAAAAGTATCAAGGTATTCTATCTATACATCCGGGGGGGTAATCGGGGGGGGGGGGGGGGGGGGGGAATCCCCGGGCCGGGGAAAGGCCAAAAAAAAAGTCCCCCCCCCGCCCCCGGTTTTTATTTTCCACCAAAAAAGGACCCCCCCCCCAAAAAGGGAAATTTTTTTTGGAAGAAAACTTTTTTGAAAACCCTCTCCACCAAAAAGGTTCCCCCCCCCCCCCCCCCCCCCCCGGTGGGGGGCCCCGGGCCTTGAAAAAAAAAAATTCTTTTTTAGGGGGGGGAAGTTTTGGCCACCGGCGGGGGGGTGGTTTTTCCTTTTTTTTCCCGGGGCCAAAAAACCCACCCCGCCGGGGGTTTTTGGGGGTCTGGGTTTCCTTTTCCCCCCCCGAAAAGAAGGG